TGTCTTTCTCGTTGATTTTGGTATAGCAAAGAAATACCGGTATGTCTTTCCCCACTTGCTTCCATTTCCTTCCAGAGATCACCGATCTAGGTGTCACATCGCATACAGGGAAGACAAAAATCTCACAGGTACTGCTCGGTACGCCAGTATAAACGCTCATGCGGGAATCGAGCAGTCTCGACGTGACGATATCGAATCTCTGGGATATGTGTTTATGTATTTCCTCCGTGGACATTTACCTTGGCAGGGACTTAAGGTAAGTGAGACCGGGCAACACCATTTGGATAGTATCCACCACAGTGGATGGTTCGGTACTCCTCTCGAACGCACTGAACTGCTACAGGCTAGCGGCTTAGTTAACGCCATCGGGGATCAGAAGCTGACACAAATGTCCTATACACAGCTACCTCTGCCAGCGACTACGAGCTGCAAATTTATGTACAACCTAAACACCAATATTAGCTGCAACGAAAGGGGAGTAGCATCTTATCTCTATTGAAAGCAACAGTTATTCACCAGAGGGTAAGTTCTTTCATCGCCATAAGGCATTCGTGAGACCCCACCCAGAGTGTTAGTTGCATAGTTCCCACCCATTCTCGGTTAGTAAGACCTAAAAAGGTTGCAGTATCGCCTAACATGACAGTTACTGGATTACTGGAGAATGAATTGTGGTCCGAAAAAATCTCAATGTTCTCCAAAAGGCCATTGGTTGTGTGGGAATCTAACCGGAGCTTGTCCTGTGACGTACACGGACCCCATCGTTATTAGCTATGGCTGGTAAGGGTAGGTCGTTTTACAACACCGTGGATTCGGATCACGCGCTTGTTCATTGCTGCTTTGCTTCGTTTTTTAGGGGTGTGAAAGATGCGTACACTTCGTTTGACCATTGAAAAGCTCAGACGCCGATGTGAAATAAGTCTGTCAGAACCACCTACTGAGGTCCCCTCCGGCCAAGGCTTCTGGTGCAAGACCTCAGTAGATACTGTCCGCAACCCTACAGGATGCTGGGCGCTCCGCCCGGCGCAACCGGCTAAGTATTCGACCTCGAGCAACAATCAAAAATTATTCGAAGCTCGCATGATTATTACTTAGTCGAGAGCATAACGCCGCTCCACAAAGTGTCAAACTACGGGTGAATAAGCGCATGTGTGTGGATCAAGAAGTGTGGTGGATCCATAAGGCTAAAGAGATGGAGGAGGTGAGGTATTTCTGGGTCCAAGAAAGCCTCCGGTGAGCGAAGCAATAATTGATGACGCCTCGGTTATCTGAAGAGGAGTGCCGGAATCGTTGGGCTGAGCACTTCCTAGACCAATGCAACTGGCCACCTGTAGTTAGGCCGGATTTCTAGTCGGCAACCCAGCCTTGGACACTGAATTTACTCCTTCCTGATGGCTTCGGAAATAGGCGGGTGCCTTTTGTCCCTCAGGCATCACCAAGCTGTTGGCCTTCACATACGCCCACCCACTCTGTTCAAAGATGGAGGTGAAATTCTCGGTCGGTGCTTGTCTGATTGCTTCTATTGGGGCGAAAGAGACCGCACCAAATAACTCGGGCACGTTGATAGTAGCCATCATCACCATCGACACCATGACTTCAGTGCTCAACACCCATGCTTCGCTGCCATGATTTATTTGAAAGCCTCATTGTGAAGAAAAGAATAAAGGTGGACGGCTAGCTTACTACATTCATTCCGAGGTGCCCACACCTCCGAACCCTCCTTTAGGCAATCTAGCTACTGACAACAAGATCGCCACTGACATCGGTTGGTAGCCTTATCTTGCAGCGTCTCCAAACAGGCGCAATGAGCCCCCTATCCTGGAAGGCGAGTAGCACCGACAGCACCCAAACGTTTCGTAATCTCTTCCATACCCCTCTGCCAGGTCATGGGTTGGCCACCTCTGCTTCCGCCACCCTAAATTAGGTATGAAAAACAACGCTCTCCGGCAAACGATCGTTAGATATACGCAACACATGCCCCAACCAACGCGGCTTCTGGTGCTGAACACATTCTTAAATAGAAGTACCCGTTGAACAACCGAAAACTCGCCTTCTAATTGCCTCTGCGGATACGCCTGAAGACGTCTCAGTTCCGCTGCTCTAACAGGCCAAGTCTCAGTCGTACAACAAAACGGCCCGCACTGTTGCTTGACGTAAGCGTCCCTTGAGATTCAGGGATACATCACTTTGACACCGTAGGTGTCTCAAGTTAGCAAACGCAACTCGAGCCTTACAGATTCTTGCATTGACCTCTTCTATCACACTTTAGTCAGAACTAATACAACGTACAGGATACGTAAAACCCTCCACAACTTCCAGCGGCTCTCCTTGGGTTGCAAGTGGCATGTTCAGTGGCTGCATGTCCATGAGCATGACCTTACAGTTCATGGGTGCAGTGTGCGTACCAAAGGACTTTGGTCAGCACATCTTCGAAGATGAGAACGATATCGTCTGCATATTCCTGATCGAAAAAGTTTGCGTTTTTTTAACATCAGGGTTTTGGTGACCTAGCTTCGGTCGACGTGAAGTTTCTGCATATTCCTGATCGAAAAAGTTTGCGTTTTTTTAACATCAGGGTTTTGGTGACCTAGCTTCGGTCGATCGTGAAGTTAAAAAGGAATGGAGAGAGTGGGCATCCATGACGCACACTGCTTTGTGTACGGAAGCTTTTGGAGAGCTTCCCGTATATTCTCACACGTCCAGAAGTCTGGGAACTCAAAGAGCTCATTGTGTTCACGAACTTCCGGGGCATTCCTTGGTGGGCAAGCGTGTCAAGCAGAACAGACCGGTCAACCGAGTCGAAAGCACCTTGGAATTCCAGGGTCACTAGAATTGTGGGTCGCTCATACGTATGGCGTTGTTTTGCACCCGACAAAGTGTGAATATTTGGTCAGAACAACCCTTACCAGGCCATAATCCCGCAAGCTGCTCTCACGAGCCACCGTGAGGCAACGAAGCACCAGTGATTCCAACAGTCTCGTTACGACCGGGGTCATGCTGATCCCCCTGTAGTTGCCACACTCACTACGCGCCCCTTCTTGGAAAATGGGCACGATCACCGACTCTCTCCAGTTGTCTGGGGCGGACTCTTTTTCCCAAATACAAGCAAACAGATCAGGTATGCACAGACTGAGGACTTCACTCCCATCTTTGAACAATGTGGGTGAGACGCAATTCGGACCAGAGGCTCAGTGACGAACAGATGCAGTCATAAATCTCCGAGGCCGTAGGCGCTTCCACGTTCACCGTAACTTGTGGGCTCCAGATATGTGCCAGCTGATGGTCGTGACAGTTGTTCGAAGTATTAGGCCCAACAATCTGTGCATTCTTTATTCGAGATGGTCACTTCCGATCCTTGGTGGTTTCGTCCACAAGTGGTTTCCGGGGACCGGTCGCACGGTTCAATTGAAAAAATCTTCGGGCATTGCAGGCTCTCTGGACCTCTTCTATTTCCTTGGCTTTCTGTGTCCACCGTACTTCACGATCGGCTCGCCTGCTCACTTTCATTTGACGTCTGATAATTCGACGCCTCAAATTTTTTTCGGGACCGTCTGGGAAATTTCCCCGAGATTTAAGGAGTGGCACCGTTCGGTCTGATATCCAGTGCTTGAGTGAGCCTTTTGATGCCGTGCCACAGACGAAATTCCCAACACTATGCAAAGGATACTCGCATTGTGTGGCAATAACAGGAATCAGCTTGACCCACGTGATCATTTACTCTGTGTCATCTCACATAGGCGCGCGAATAGGGAACCCGAGACCAGCATGCAGGATTCCGGCCGGGAGGAAATTCGTTCACGTCTTCACATTCCATCAAGTGTTGGAGCATAATAATCGTTCAGTTGTAGCATTCCTCCGGTGCCTAGCTTCCGTGCCACGCGACGGAATCACGAGAATGGGTTACCCAAGCCTAGACGGGAAGTCGAGATACAGAGGATGGGTTCGATTGCTGTTAGAGCAACAGCATCTGTATAGGGGTCCTACAAACTTGTTTGATTTTGTCAATGGTAACGCTGGCGCAACAGGATACGCCAGAAGTTCGCCCATATTACACACTGTATTCAGATACTTCCGGTCACTTCAGAGTGCTCCAGTGGCTTTCCTTTGAGCACTGATGTCCGGTAAGAATTTTCATTCCACTTTTGTTTGGGCTGGTTGTTGGTCTAGATAATGAGGCGAACACTGGAACCTAGTCACTTGGCCTGACGAAGCTTTTGTGTCAAAAGCGAAATGTTGCCCAGCAATAGGTCTGTCGATTGTCACCAAACTTTTTCGAGAACACTGGAAGGTCTCCAAAATCCCATTAATCAGGTCTGTTCAAGCGAGAACCTTGGCGCGTTCCTATTTTCGAAGACAGGACAGAAAGGGCAAACAATACTGAATAAGCTGACCGAGGCCATCCAGTTCTTCAGCATATACTTCGTGACCACAAAGTGCAAGGTCATGCTGCAAGACTTGCACTATTTGAAAATGCCTCCAAGTATTCAATTGTTGACACTGAAGGTTGTGGAACACTATACGTATCTCGGGAGTTGCATTAGATCTGATAGCAGTGTCATAGACGAAGTGGACGCACGAATCTCGGATATCAGAATTGCGTCTGCCAATTGACGCCACTTGTGGCACCGAAACGGCATCTCACTGGGCCTCGAAGGGCGCGTGGATCAGACTACATTACGGGTTGTATTGTTGTGCGACTGCGGGAATTGACCTTTTCAGGTGGAGGATCCGAGACATCTTCAGGTCTTTGACGACCGATGCCTCGGAACTGTAACTGAGATCGGATGAAACCGACGGATTGGAGATGACGCGATCAGGAGTCGGGTTTTTGGCGCTTTACTGGGGTACATCCAGCACTACAAGCTGAGCGTTCAGCTGTAGCACCCTTACGGTAAATAGATGCCATGCCACCCGAAAGAAGCACGAGAGCTGAGATATTTCCAGGTTGTTCAAGCTTAGGCTCGCTTGCTTCGAGTGACCCGGCTGCTGTGTATTAGAAGCGTGCTACGGATGAATGGCGCTGGCATGGCTGTTATGCGCCGAAAGGGTGCTGCCGCGAAAGGGCGCTACAGCTGAACGATATATATATATATATATATATATACCGTTTACCAGTCCACTATATGGTCCGATAAACTGCAGCTCAGTAGTGATGAAGGATTTCTTTTACGAAGACATGTGGCGCTCGCTTTGCTTTGCAAGCGTAAATGACTTATCCAGCCGTAATACCCTCTCGGTGCCTAGCTACGATGCCGCGCG